AACTGAATCTAACTGGCTTCCTACGCTAAAGTTTTTTTTATTCTTCTTTTGACGCGGATCCTTCTGTGTCCGTCAAGGTCACGCGTTTTGTCCTTCGAGGGGTCTCAAATATTATTCGCGAAATCATATATTTTTATATTGTCGATCATCGATGTTGTGAATCGGTGAACTTTGTAAAAATACGTTTGCGAGGACCTCTTTTACGTTATTTTTGAAATATTGAAAGCGTTCGTGTAGAAAATAAGGTTTTTATTATCAGTTTGCAGTTTATCTCTCGAAGACTCTTGGTTTTTACCTTGACGCTCACAGATCTGGACCGAAGGTTCAGTCTTTTTAAATTTCTTGTTCTCTGCCGCGATTTCTGAGCTTGGTTAGAGTATTCGGGTTCAAAGGCTGTGCGTTGGGCGTCGAGTAATGTTGATTCGATTCTCTTTGCAGAGCTGATGAGGTCTCCAGCAGTGAGGTGGTCCAGCAGGAGTTGTCGAAGCTTGCCTCCTACACCTACGCCGAGTTACCATCACCCGCTCCACCCCCCACTGCCAGCGGTGGGCATGGTCGCCGAGAGGAAGAAACGTTTTGAGCTCTAACCATCCGACTCTTTGCTACTTGCAACGAAAACTTGATAGGTGCACCATTAGCCATAAGTATTTGGACACTTGTTGGATCTGATCGAGAGCCTATTATCATGTAACCAATTCATATCCCCAAGTCTTTCTAATAATCTTTGCCTAATCCTTGTAATTAAATATTTATTCTCCAAATAGTTTAGTATTGAAAATAGGACATATTCTTTTCATATTAGCTCCTCATTGGATTTATTCCCATTCGATTCCAATTATTGCACACTTAGTCACTCAATTCAAAGTTAGCTACCGTTCAAATTGTCAAACATTCACCGAACATATCAGTAACTGTTAAGAAAAGGCTTAGGCATCGTTCCATTAGAAAGATTTCCAACAGAAATGTCCAAATACATGTGGCCAATAGCATAAACGCAACCACAGCCGTGCGTCCGATAGTTCTCTCATGGTGCTAGACCGGTTGCTCGTTCGTACTAAAGTCTTCTCTCCCGAAAGACTCGTAGTTTCAACTCGCGCAGAGCAACCCTTCCCGACGCATTATCCAAACGCGATTCGTCACTGCCATAGCGACAGAGCTTCGACGGTAGAATGGAGCGAGAGACGTGCGCGTTTCGTGTCAATGGATTAACCGTATTTCTCACGTGACAATATTGAGCATGTTTATCAGGTAAACATGATTCAATAGCCGAAACGAGGCTCGGGTCACGACGGTCGCTAACGTTCTTCTTCGCGGCTCGCTGTCTTCGTAACAGACCAACCATCCTTCCCCCTTCGATTCCCCTTTCCCCGCCTTTCACGAAGGACCCCGTTTTATACCACGGAAATTTTTGCTAAGCACGTTTACAAGGCTGCACCGATTGCCGCCGTTTGATATGCATTTAGACTTTGATACACGAATTTTTTCCGTAGCGGCGAGAGTAGTGGTCGCCCCGAGCGACGTTTTTCTCGGGCATTATTCCGCCATTGGCCGTTCCCCGTTCCTTTCATCCGGTTGCCCATCGGTCCGGGGACAATCGTCGACAATCCATTCGATTCTCGCAGAAATATCGACTTGGTGCTCTTCACACGACTGCAATGATGGTACAATCTCTCCCGTTCGTCTCGTTCCTCGATGAAAATTTCGTTAACTTGTCCGCATAAATAGTCGCACTCTTTGCTTGTCCGTACAATAGAAGTTCGCCGGAGTTTACCGGGGGAAAGGGGAACTGCCAGGAAGCCGGCGGATGCGAGGAAGATACAGCGGAGCGCCGTTTACTTTGTCCCATTCAGAAAACGTCGATCGAAGTTAGATCATTTCTTGATATTCATTTTAATTTCTGTTTTCCTGCTCAAATTCAAGCGTCTATCCGGGAAACAAGAACCTTCGAAATCTCGATCACTAGAATCTCCGAACATGTCTCGTTCAATAGAGGGAACCCGATGAAACTGGAAGTCCAAATAAACTGGCGTTCCGCTGTGTCACGCGAATCTTCTGTACAAGCGTCGTGACGACGAACACGACCGTATGGTGTTGTTGGTGTGAACGCGAGAACAGTCCGTCAAAGATCGTTTTCGATTGATTTTCCGGGAATGATTTCGTACAATTAGACGATCCGTTCACCATCTTGTTGTTACACCGGAGGGGCTAATTCGAAAGCATACGGCTCGAAGCTCGTCTTTTTAGGGAGGCTTTGATATTATTTTCCGATTTATTGACACTTCGATCGCGGCTGTATTTCTCTTCCCATCTCTCCTTCTCTCCCCTTTTTATTTTGTTTTTCTTTTTTGTAAAGTTTGTCGCGTAAGGGACGTTTCGTCAAAGGAACAGATACGCGACTGTTTTTCTTCGATGTTTTTTCTCTCCTTTCTCCTCTTTTCTCCCTTTCACCCTATTCCCATTCCCTTCCTCTTATCCCTCTGTCTCGTTGTTTCGTTCGAGGATCGAAAGAAAGTATTTTTACGCTTGTTTCGCTCTTGTTATGTATAGATTCTGCACATATTAAAATATTACGGCGTTGTCACG